GTTTTTTTGGGTTTTTGCGATTTTGAGATTGCTGGATTTTAGCAATAAACCCAAACCGGAGAAATGTCCGGGTCGCGGGTTAACCGGTCGGACCGGTGGGTCCGGTCCGGGCGTGGAAACACTGGTTATAGCAGATTTAACAATGACTCTAATTACTGATTTATGTTGTACTTCTTCCGCATAACAAAAATGAATTTGGAGATTCACAACAAATTATTTGCAACACATCTTCTCGACGTATGGACAAATCATTTTTTTTTTTAAGTTTTTTAACATTTCTAATCGACATATTTACATTTTATTTTTTGTTACTATGAATCTATAAGTAGATTTTCATTATTCATAAGGTTTAAGCATAGATTAATACGTTGCAAATTTAAAGCAATATAAAAATATATTGAGGTTTTTCTTAGAAAACAAATATTTTGATAGTTTTAAAAACCTTTGAAACCAATGAGTTAGAAACCAAATGACATGTGGCTTAGAAGTGTTGTCCAATGGCTTCTTCTTGATTGCTTTCTTAGTCAATAGAATTTTTTGGAGAGAGAATACATATGCAAGTTAACAACAGAATTGATATCAATTCAAATTAAAGCAAATGTTTAATTTTATAACCATCTATTTGGGCAATCTGTGAAAGAAAATAAATTATATATGCTTTGTACTATGTTAGTCGATTTCTTTGATTGGAGCGGTGAGTTTCTTGTTGAGTTTAGTTGGTATTTATAGTAGTTGTTAGTATATAATATGTTGGTGAGCAAGTTGATACAAAATCAGAATATTCTCAAATTTAATGGGATATTTTTTAGGACTTTTTCATTAAATAGAGATTGTAACGGGGTTGTTAAAATTGGTTCCAATTATGAATATGTTGTTAATTAATATAATCTTTTTCCGAGATTTTGTAGAGTTAATTTCTTTTTTATAAATGTAAATATAGATACTAATTATTTTAGTCTTTGTTTTCTATAAATGATAATTTTTTAATTAATATAATAATA